TGGACGTGTTCGACAACAAATTATTCATAAATTATAATTTATACATAAAAAATATAAAATGTTTATTTTATCTTTAAATGAATAAATATTTTTGAATAAATAATTACCATTTAAAAAGTTGTTAGCTCCTCCGGTGGCAACACTGGGCCACGAGACGGTCGCTCCGGGCGGCTTGACCCGACTCGGCCATACCCTCGCTCTGTTTCGCCGTTACCGCCGGACACGACGCGTGTGTCCGCGGACGAACTGCCGTTATCCGTAGTCACGCGTTTTTCGCTCCGGCGACGTTTGTATTTTAAGTTTAATAAATCGCACTGATACTGTAAACCGTGTTATTGTCTTTTAACGACTGTATCCTGACACCTCCCGTAAGCTTAATTCATAACGCTTTCAAATCAGAAGTGGGATACGACTCTTTTACGTACAAAGGGGTCGATCGAATCCGACATTTCACGTTTCCGTTTTTGCGTTCCGTCGCCGCCCCGCATAGTTTTCGCCGTTCGTGAAGTGCGAAGTGCCGACGTGGTTGCGTACGCTAACGCCCCGCATAGTTTTCGCCGTTCGTGAAGTGTGAAGTGCCGATGTCACGTGTTTGGTGCGCCGAGTGTTGACCGTTAACCTCGAATTTACAATTCGAATTTTGAGGTTATCGCAACCGATACCGCTACCGCTATCGCGACTGATATTGCGACGTAAACAAAACTGTTATCGCGACCGATATTGCAACGTAAACAAAACTGTTATCGCGACCGATACTGCGACGTAAACAAAACTGTTATCGCGACCGATACTGCGACGTAAACAAAACTGTCTGATCACGTTTGTGTTTGTTATTGACAACGATAGTCCACTTCCGAACACATAATGCCGAATAACGATAAACTGAACGATATACCCCCCTCGAATGCTCCAACGTATCTTGAGCTTTTCAACACAGTCACGGCTTTAACCGAAAGATTACAGCAATTGGAGGCAGCGTCTGACACGGGTCAGCAATCCTCGGAGATCGTCAACCCACCGGCTGCGACCTCGACGGTCGATTACCGAATTCTTCCCGATGCTGGGACGTCTATTTGGTCATTCTCGGGGCACGAGTCCAGTGCCGAGGCGGAAGATTGGATTAGTTCGGTCGACGGGCTGGCTCACGTAAATCAGTGGCCACTACGTTACCGATTACTTTACGTTCGCTCACACGTAACCGAAGCCGCGCGGAGTTGGTTTCTGCTCGAACAGTTCGATGACTGGAACACATTTGTTAAAAGGTTCCACGCAGCGTTTGTACGCAATCTGCGAAAAGCAGATTTGTGGCGCGAGCTTGAAGCACGTATTCAAGCCCCTAACGAACCATCAATAGATTACTTCTACTCGAAAATTGGATTGTGTCGTTCGCTAAATTTATCGTTCGCCGAAACTCGGGACTACGTTCTCGAAGGACTAAGGTCGCAGCAACAAGCCGAATGGGTCTCAGGCCGTCAACAGTCGGACAGCGACGGATTGTTGTCGGACATACGCGACTGGGAACGACTACGCACCAAAAGGCAACAGTTGTTTACGACAACGTCGGCCCCGAACCGAAACAAACCCTCGACTTACGTTAACGGGTGTACGCACGCAAATTCGTCGAAGCAACAACCCGATGCCGTACCGACGCCAAAGGACGTCGTCAAACCGACGGGCAAACCGCCAGGGAAAACGACGTCCGATACATCGTACAAGGGAATCGAAACGTCTCATACCTCGGCTGTCAGCTGCTATAACTGCCGAGGTCAAGGGCATATATCACGTGACTGTCCACGTCCGCAACGACCGATGAAATGTACCGGATGCGGTTCGAACCAACATCGACGCAGTAAGTGTCCAACGTCATCCGCAGAGCAGGCCGCAAAGGGTGAACCCGGACAAGCATACCAAGTCGACGCAGCGCTCAGCGTTCGGAAGCCGAACCCGTTTTTGAAGAATGTAATGTTGAACGATGTGTCGTTCACAGGTCTGATCGATACTGGTTGTTCAGCCGTATTGGTACGACAGTCAGCCGCGGCGAAGTGTCGACTCATCGTCGAGCCGCAAGTTTGTCCGCTATACACCGTGGGCAATGTTGACCGACCAAGCGTGAGCGCCGTAGGCAAGGCTGTAGCGAAGGTAACAATTGACGGTGTTGTCGCCGATTGCCACGACGTAAAAATAGTTGACGACGTTCTCATCCCGGTGGATGTTATGGTGGGACGCACTTGGCTGGAGCTCCCGCACGTCAATTATTACAAACAAGGATATGAAATAATTTTTGAAACGAATTGTCACCTCGACGGTAAAGAGTTGACAGATGAGATACACGGCGATTATCCGCAGGTGTTAATGACCGAATGTGACGCGAACTCAACCCACGTTGACGCGCTAAGCCGAGCGCCATACGACGAGGAGGGCACCGTCAGATCAGTGGAAGATGAACTGTCCGACCGTGTCGACGTATTTATCGCCATGACAAAATTCGAAGCGGTTCGACTACTGCAAGCCGCCGATGAACGTGTCCGTAGTTTGGTGGGAATTCTGTCCGGAGTAGACGGACAAACCAACGAGACGAACAACGAAATAGAAGGGTACCAAGTTACCGACGGAATATTGTACAAAATACACAATGGTCGCCCCCTACTAGTAATACCGAAAGCAATGCGGAAGGGAATTGTGATCGCGGCGCACGACTATGCCGGACACTTTTCGGTTGATCGTACCGTCGCACGTATACTCAATGATTACTGGTTCTCGGGACTAAAAAGGTATGTCAAGCAGCACATTGCAATGTGCGTAGACTGTCTCGTTAACAAGAAACCAGCCGGATCGAAGCCCGGCTATCTACATCCGATACCCCCGGGGAAACGACCGTTCCAAGTAATACATATCGACCACCTAGGTCCTTTCGAAACTTCAGCGAAGAAAAACAAGTACCTACTTGTCTTGGTCGATAATCTGACGAAATACACGCAACTATTCCCGTGTAAGACGACCAACACTGCAGCCGTTCTGCGCATCTTGGAACGATTTTGCACAGAACGAGGTATTCCCGATCGGATTGTTTCGGACCGCGGGACGTGTTTCACCTCACACGCATTTGAAACGTTTTGTAACGAACGAGGTATCCGACACACCCTGAACTCCACACGACACCCGCAGGCTAATGGCCAGGTGGAAAGGGCTAACCGTACAATAGTTACACTGTTGAGTGTTACCGGAAGAGACCATACTAGCTGGGATATGCAATTACGGCAAGTGGAGAACATGCTAAACACCGCACCAAACAAATCCACGACGAAAACGCCTTACGAAACTTTACATGGTTATCTGCCTCGCTTCTTCAAGGGTATTCTACCCACTCTTAGTCTCACTGGAACCGACTGGCGCGACCCTCATGACGTTCAAGCCGAGGCACGTGAAAACATCACTAATGCTCAGGTAAAAATGAAAATTGCTCACGACCGGAAGAGATACGAAGGCATAAAATATGAAGTGGGTGAAATTGTGGTGATGTTGAAACAGCCAGTTCCACATCTATCAACAAAACTACAATCAAAATATCGTGTGAAACCGCTGCAAGTGGTAGAAGTACTGCCGAGTGACACCTACCGCGTCGCTGAAATCGCCATGGATGGACACGAGACTTACGCGACTACAGCACATGTCTCACAATTAAAATCTTGGAAAGTCCTGAAGGAAGACGACGACGATGGAGACGAGGATGACGTGATTCGGGAAGCCAATAACGGGGAAGGAAGGGCCGAGCAATCCACGTCGACCTTACCAGTTACCAAGCCAAGGCGTAGCGCTAGAACTCATCGACAACCGAGGTATCTCGACGACTATGCATAACCACCCATACTTTATTTTATATTCGTTTTTGGTGATTATTAAATTCACCCTATGTATTATTATTTAATATTCGTTTTTGGTGATTATTAAATTCACCCTATGTATTATTATTTTATATTCGTTTTTGGTGATTATTAAATTCACCCTATGTATTATTATTTTATATTCGTTTTTGGTGATTATTAAATTCACCCTATGTGATAATATTTCAATTTTTTTTATGTATATAAATGAAAATTACACATGTTAATGGGGACCTGGCCCGAGGACGGTCCAGCGGCCAGGACGGCCGATTGTTAGCTCCTCCGGTGGCAACACTGGGCCACGAGACGGTCGCTCCGGGCGGCTTGACCCGACTCGGCCATACCCTCGCTCTGTTTCGCCGTTACCGCCGGACACGACGCGTGTGTCCGCGGACGAACTGCCGTTATCCGTAGTCACGCGTTTTTCGCTCCGGCGACGTTTGTATTTTAAGTTTAATAAATCGCACTGATACTGTAAACCGTGTTATTGTCTTTTAACGACTGTATCCTGACACCTCCCGTAAGCTTAATTCATAACGCTTTCAAAGTTTAACAACAATGACTGGTTATTGATCAAGCTTACCTGCAGCTTACCTATAAGCCTGCTTTAAGTATAGGTAAACGCTGAATTATTATTGTTTTATTTAAAATATAAGTAAAATAGTATTATATCGAATTAATTGGGTAGGTATATCGTATATACTATAAGTACATTATTTCAAGTAGTACGTATTTGTTCTACGTATTGCACATTCGAAGTTTAAGTATTTAGAAATTAATAGGTAATAATAATATTAAATACATTCATCGTTCCACTCAGAAAAATATAATAGTAAAAATATTTATATTATTGCTGTAGTGGAGAATTATTTAACGTTTTGTAACTACATTTATACGTACATATTACTAAATTTAGCTCAATTTCGTGCCACTTTCACATATTTTATTCGTACAGGGAAATCCAAAATTGAAGAACGATCTTTCAAATTATTTTAATAATAGATCTATGTCTATAATGTTTATTTTATATTTGCGTGCATTGAATTTCCAATTCAATCGTCAGTCGTCACTCGTATTTTTCCACGGTATGAACGTGTTGTGTTAATGTACTTATTTCAAATGTCCACCGAAAAAGTCTGGAATCAAGATGAAATTCTCAAGCTTATAGATTTAGTACAGCAGAGTGAGAATATTTGGAATCCAGCTCACAACCTATACAAAAATCGGATCCGAAGGACGGATTCAATAAATGAAATTGCTAAGATCTTAGGTGTTTCGCAGCAAGAAGTCGACAAAAAATGGAAGACGGTACAGTCCCAGTTTCGTAGGGAACAACATAAAGTAAAAACTAAAAAATCTGGAGCTGGAACTGAGGATAGTTATACAAGTGCGTGGTATTTGTATAGGCCATTAAGTTTTTTGTCGGATAGAAACAAACCTAAAAATACTAGAGACACTTATGAAGCACAGGTAATAACAACTTTATTTAAATAATTATTTAAAAAACAATGAATTGATAGTAATTATTAGTTAATATTTAATAGAAAAATAGATAATAGACAATACTTCACTAAATACAAATTAAGAATAGAAGTAGGTAATTAAATAAAATTTATTCAAATTCATCTTGCCAATGTACACGCCCTGTAGTTGAAAAATAATGAGCAAATCGTTCACGAGTTTCGTGTACAGCTGCTGCTGATTTTCGTCCACATTTCTTTAATGGTAAAAATGACGTGGTTTCCGACGAATCACTTCTCCATGTTCCTTTTTTTAAAGTTCCATATTCAAAATCTTCGGTATCAAAAATATCTGGTGGACAATATAAATTTTTTGACGACTCACTCCGTCTTAAAAAATTATGCAAATGGACGCAAGCCAAAACAATAGTATTTATTTTTTCTGGTTGTATAGTAATAACGGTTTTCTTAAGACTCGGAAAACCGAAGCCATTATGCCAAAAGTATTTTCAACGACACGTCGTGCCCTTGATAAACGATAATTAAAAGATCGCTGTGGTGAACCTCTTAAATGAGTCCCGGGAAAAGGTTTCATTAAATTTTCCTTCAATGGAAAAGCATCATCGCAGACAAAAACATATGAAGATTTTTCTTGTTGTCCTGGAAGTGCTTTTGGAGATGGTAGGTTTAAAGATTCATCGTAAATTTTTTTTGCCAAGATGGAATTATTAAATACTCCTCCATCTGATATCCTACCTTGACACCCAACACTTGCAAAAATAAAACAATAATGTGCGTCCACTGCTGCAAGTAGAACAACACTAAATGTCCCCTTGTAATTGAAATATTCAGTGCCACTATTAAAAGGTGCTTGCATTACGATGTGTTTACCGTCAATGGCACCTACACATTGTGGAAAATTCCATAACTCATTATAGTCATTTGCTATTATTTCCCATCCATTTGGTGAATTAGGCATCTAAAAATAATTATAATTTTTTTTATAGTTTATTGTAAAATATTGTTAAAATAATATTAAGAAATTATTATATACTTTTCTGTGTTATAGCCCCATCTCTATTTCCAAAATAAAAATTACAAAATCAACACCTTATCAATTATCTGACAAATGACTATATTACAATAATAACGTTAATGGTTATTTCTGTGGTGTTTACATTATGTATACTATTATCTATATAGTGTTTATTTTGTGGAAATTTCTTTGAATTTTTTGATCGTGTGCTTATGAAAATGTATTTTGTATTCGGTACTCTGGTGGACAATGGTGGTATCTCTTTTATCAGAGACAAGTTATTAATAATCGTTAAGTTGATACCTTGATAGTTGATACCACGGTCTTAGAAGACCATGGTTGATACACAGAACAATGATACCTTACGGCGGACGCATGTTATTTTCCAGAAAAAAAACGGCCTGAATGTAGATTTGTCGAATGTTAAATAACAGAAAATAATATTACAGAATTGAAAACAACCAGAATATAAAAAGCCCAGTACATATTTGAACAGAAAATAAAATGAACGAAAATAAATACTACAGAATGTAAACTGATAAGAATTATTATCAGTAGAAATACAGAAATACAGAAATTGATATTGCAGAAATTCGAAAAGTGTATAATTCCAGAATGGAATATAACAGAACACAGTTTTACAGAATGTTATGATGCATAAAAAATGTTTGCATAAAATATTATCTTGGAAAATATTTTAACTGAAAATTATTTATTAGAAAATATATTTCCAGAAGTATATCTATAGAAATTTTTTAGTCGTTAATTAAAAATTAAAATTCGTGGGTACAAAATATAATTTTTTTACGTATGTCTGTTATTTACTTGCTAACTTAGGTATATAACTTATATTTATAATATATATACTTTATGTATAATGTATATAATAGTACAAAGTGTCCGCGTTCTGCAATGTACCATTTTACTCGACCGTACAAAGTGTCCGCGTTGTACATTTTGAACAATGGACCGTACAAAGTGACCGTTTACCCAAAATTTGACCTATAATAGGTACCTGTAATAAATTCCAAATTAATCATATCACAATATCCATTAGGTACTTATAACGCGTTATACATCAACAAAAACCGTGATACTATCATAGATACATAATAGTACACTTTAGAAGTTTCAAGTAGGTACCCACGAATAATATTATTCAATCACAACAAAATAACTAAAATAGTTATTCTAGGTTTTTTAATATGTAATTTCGGCCAAATTTGAATTTAAAATGTCTGTAAAAAATAACTGTGTTCATATATTTTTTAGATTTTTTGGTTACAGTATGAACTATTTATGAGAACCTTTGTTTTAAATTTGCAATCCTTAGCTATAACTGAATATTTTATAATTTATTAATTACAATGATTGATAATTTTCGAGATTTGATAAATTTTGTCAAAATTCGATCTTTAAATGCTTATAAAAAAAAACTGTGCCTATGTATTTTTAATATTTTTCAACTGCTATTGTAACAATATATCAGGAGCCTTGTATTAAATTTTTACACTTTTTGGCCCAACAGATAAAACCTAATTGATATTTATAGAAAAAAAAACTAAAAAAAAATGAAAAATGAAAATGTCCCTAAACAGTTCAAAATATTTTGAAAATGTTATCGTGTATAGAAAATGCTAATATAAACAACCAGTGAAAATTTCATGTATATACGTTCATTTGTTTTAGAGTTACACCAAAAACCAAATTTGATTCTTTGAATCGATTTTTTGGAAAACCGTTTTTCCTTAATTTTTATGTTGTTTTTCCCGGCGCTTGTGAAAACTACTAGGAAATTTTTACTTTTGACCCCCAAAGTACCAACTAGATTCACTTTCCTATCAGAAAAGCTACTGTTGAAGAAAATCCAAGCACTTTTACTTTCCTAAAACGTGATGACAGACACAAAAAAAAAAACACACATCATTGTAAAATCAATACATTCATCGTTTCACTCAAAATCTAAAATCAAAAAAGAGAAATTATTAGGATAAAATTTAATAACGAATTACAATAGAATAATAAAATAACTAAACTTGACTTTAATAAGCTGTATCATTTAAATATTTACCTGTTTAAAATTGACATTAGATATTAGATAATATTATAATTGTAATTATAATTATAATTATTATTGAATATTGATATTATTATTTATTATTAATTTAACATTCAATATTTTAGACGTGACTCAATTCACCACTATCATTTTTTTTTTTAGGTGAGATTTAGTTAATCTAAAAATAATGAAATAGGGGTGTAATATGTAGGAAAGGGAGATGGTAAACTGTGGAAAAATTAACCTTTTTCTAAAATTCGATATATAAACTGCTACAAATAAAAATTTAACATTATACAATCTGCGACAAAATCAATAAGATACATTATACAAACTGCGTCAATTCATTTTATATACCTATAGGTACGTATATACATTATGTATACATTACAGTATGTACATTATAGAAGTGTCGATTTGATAACATAAATTATATAGGTACCCACATCATATTTACCTATGTGTTATTATTTAAATATAATTATGTATTTTTGTTGTTTATTTGTCCCTGCATAATATGTATATTTTATAATCACCGTTTAACGTAGTTACTAATATTGTTTGCCATTATGGCTAAACATTGTTGTAAATTCCATATTGAATTAAATATTAAATTTCTTAAACTACTTCTACTGACATTTAAGTCATCTAACTAACTAATAAGTACTATAAGTATACATTTAAAAAAACATTTGGATTTACCTTACTAATTTGTATGTAACATGACTTATTGGTCTAAAACGTATGAAAAATACCTGTACTGCAATCCCCTTAAAAGTTAAAATGTAAAATAAATCATAATCGGCTATTAAAAATTATATCTCATGATTTATAAGAATATACAAAATACAAATATTGAGTGTAAGCTTCGTTTTGAATGGGTTGAAAACTAAATGCACTATGCACTCAAACCTCATAGCCCATAGGCAACGTGTGTTCACCAAAATAATAAGTACCTAATTAGTAAATACTTTTAAAAAAAGAATGCTCGTTGCGTAAGTTGTATATTTGATTGGTATTACAACATATAATATTTTTATTGTAATTTATAGTTATGTTTTATAATAGTTAGGTAATAAGTATACTTCAATTATACTACAATTAATGTCTGATGGTTTGCTGAGTATTGGGTGTAATTTAAGTATAAAAAATATTTATTCATTATTAAAAAAAAAATACAATTAATACATCATGTTTACAAATCATTGTTTTGGTAAGTTTAAACGACGAAGTGTAAAACAAAATTGAGGCAATGGGGGTTTGAACCCTGTTACTAACCGGCACTTGCGCAAGTGCCTGCCACTACTAGATATTGTTTTATATAATGTATGAAGTAAATATTTTGGCCTCAGCCTGGCCCACCTGGTAGGTACTAAATTTCTGGCGCCGCGACTGTTAACTCCACTAACCATCATCATCATGCAATAAGTAGAAAAATGAAATGGTCACCTGCAGCTGTGGTGGGCTGAACTTAAATTTTAAATGACGCATTAGGCTCCTAATATATTGTTACTATAGCAGTTGAAAAATATTAAAAATACAGTCACAATTTTTTGTTTAAAAGCATTTAAAATTCGAATTTTGACAAAATGTATCAATATTAAAATTTAACAATTATTTTGTGGTTAAAAACAATTTATAAAATGTTCAACTTTTATAGCGAAGGATTGAAAATTCAAAACAAGGTTCCACGTAAATAGGTTATATATAAATTACTTTATTCACAATAATTAATACCATCAAATGACAAATATACTTAGTTATATCAATATATCGTAGTATACCTCCGCCGCGCTGGGAGGCCTCTGCAGTCTGTTCAATCATTTCAATCAATAAGCCTTTTTATTTTTATTTTATTTAGCTATTAATTACCATAAATTGTTCTTATTGTTCTTTTTTTGTAACGATTTGATAATAAAAAAATGTATGATACAAAAAA